AAAAAAAAAAAAAATTCCCTTTAATACTTTTTAAATTATGTTAAAATTTTTTTAACATTAAATTAAAAAGTTGAAATTTGAAAATGCCAATATGATTGATTTTCTTTTTTTTCCCCCTTTAAATGATCATTAAAGTTTTGTCGAAAACCTTTGAAATTTACCCTTTTTTTTTTTTAAAAATTTTTTTTTCATTTTTGAAATTCAAACTCGTTTAATAGCATTAATAATAGTAATTGAATATATATATTTTTTTCCAAGTTTATAAAGCAATTTCCAATAATTTTTACATTCGATATAATAGTCTATCGATGATAATTATGATTAAAACTTGAATTCCCGGTATTGCTTTCTTTCTTTGCATATGTCTTTTTTTTTTTTTCGTTATGAATTGTTTCGAAATGAAATATTCAAATTTAAGTTCTGTATTCTTTTTCATCATTTATCCGATTCATTGAAGGGAAGAGGGAGAAAGAGAGAGAGAGAGAGAGAAAGAGAGGGGAGAGAGAGGGAAAGAAGACAAAATTTAGCTAATTTTTAATTAATAACTAAAATTACGAACATTAATTTGTTTTAAAAATTAAATTATTATAAAAACTGAAATTATAAAACATTTATCATTAAAATATCATAGATTTATTTCAGATTATATTCCATGAATTACTCTCTTTTAGGACTATCATTTAGCAATTTTAATTATACCTATAAATTATCAGTTTCAAATTATACCGCATTATGTTCATAGAGTTGGTAAATTTTATAAATTCATTTTCAATTTTCTATACTTTGTTCAAAATCGAAAATTTCGAAAAAAAAAAGAAGAAAAAAGGGAAAATACTGTATCTCTTATAAATGATAAAATTGAATTAATAATTCAAAAAATTTTTCAATACAATCTTTTCGTCATAAAAAACTATTAATGCTTATTTAAAAAATTTTTTTGAATTGTATAAATTATTTCGAATGAAATATTCAAAATCGAATTACAATAATCACTTTTTATTTTTGTTGAATTAAATGAGGGGAGAGAGAGAGAGAAAGAAGGGAAAGGGAGGAATTAAATGGGAGAGAGAGAGAGAGAGAAGGGAAAGGGAAGGAGAGATAAAGAGAGGGAGAGAGATTTATGCTTTAATTCAGTTAATCATTCCTTTTTAAATAACAACTAAAATTACAACCATTTCAATGATTTTATAAAACAAACAGATATTACTGTAACCTAAGAATTCAAATGTGAGGCTAACATTTTTACAGTAATCTGGTTAAAATAAAGATGATATATGAGGGATTTTTATAATCGAAAGTAAAATGTTAATATTTATTGCTAAAAGAGAGAGAGAGAGAGAAAAAAAATCACTGAAATGAAAGACAAAATATATAGAAGATAAGAATATGAAAAGATAAAAGATATGCATTTATTTATTTCCTATAAATGATAAAAGTAAATTAACAATTTAAAACATTTTTCAATACAATTTTTTCTTCAGGAAAAAAAAGCACAGAAGATAAAGATATCAATTTGTGATAACATATCAGGATAAATATATCAATTTGTGATAACATATCAGGATAAATATATCAATTTGTGATAACATATCAGGATAAATATATCAATTTCTTTTAAATATATCAATTTATCTATATGAAAATAATTAAAATTACATGGGAAAACAGCATTTTCCAAATTTCTTCTTAAGAATTTAAGTATAATATGAAAATTATTTCGATAAATAATTTCCAAACTATTGGGAATGTTTTGTTTCATAAAAATATTCAATGGCATTCAAGAATATTCCATCATAAATTTATTATGAAATTTATGGAATCGTTCCA